AAAATACAATGGTGGTTGGTGACGGTGGTTGTGGGAAAAGACGGTAACGGTGGTGGTCAAGGACGGAATATTGTGGACGAAACATTGTGGACAAAAAAGGATAGCAATCTTTCCCGTCCAAAAGCTGAGACATCACCTCGTACTCCGCCGAACACAGCTCACTTACGCGGGGTATAATTGTCTTTCCAGCTGACCGGGAACAGTGATTTGTGGTATATGTCAAAAAGTTTTTTTGACTTATGGTACGTTTTGAAAGTTTTTTTGAGATATAGTAGTTTCAAAAATAATCCCTAATGTTTTTGTTATAAAAAATAAAATGAGTGATAAACAACATATAAACTGATAGTGTTCAATTACCTCGGCCGATGCATTTTTTCCATCTTATATAATATAGTAAGGTTTCTCAAAATTCAAGCCATGAGAGGTTGTCATGTGTCATCTAATTTTTTGACATTTGTCTTTTTAATTTATTTATTGAAAAGAAATAAAAATTTAATAACTCTAATAACTTTACCAATAATTCTAAAAATTCAATAGCTCATATTTATGTAAATTAATTCTAACAAGTTACAATTAAGTGTTTTGTATACATTTGTATAATTTTTATGTAAATTTATGCATAGAAAATAGATATTTTATTTATCAAATCCAACAATATTTTATACAAAAAAACATTTTTTTGTCTTTTAGATAACTGTGATTTAAAACAAAAATCACAAACGAAAAGTTTTAATAAAAAGAAGCATAACATAAAAAAAGAAAGATGATAAGAGACAATTAAAGAATGATCTTAGGATTTTTAGGGTTATTAAATCCAACAAGTCTCATTGGAAAAATTTAGATTTTAAATGTTTTTTAAATGATTTCATATTTTTTAAAGCCAATTTACCAATCACCTTCTAATGCAATTGAAATAATTTGTGTTGGACAAAATAACATTTCTAACCAAGACTCTCGAAAGAAAATTTTACTCCACCACAAATTGTAAATCCACAAAAACAAAATCATTTCACCAATGAATTGATATCAAAGATAAAAATCACAGTAAAACGATAAATAGAGTGAGACAAAAATACAATCAAATATCAATTATCTCTTTTTATGATTCAAGATTCTAATGAAATAAACAAAAAGATGCATTCCAACATATATGTTGAGATGATGTAGATGTCTCGGTAGAAGCAAAATATACTACAACTAGGCTGATCAATAGATTTTTACAAACGTATTTGATGCAAAAAACGACCTCTCATTTTTAGGTAACCGTAGTGAATATTTGATTCAATCATACAAGTTAAAGATTTGTGCCAAAGAAGATGTCTTCGATATGCTGTAATTTTTATTAATGAACGACCTATTTTTTTCATATATAACATTGTATATGTCCAACAATTTGCTACAAATGTTTAATCTTCTAACTTAGATAATTATTTACTACAAACACCAAATTTCTATAATTTTTTAATTACAGAAATAATCCATAAATAGAAATTATTAATGTTAATTTTTAAAATCCATGCAACGCGTGGGTAATCTCTAGTAGATAATATATACAGCACCACAGAGCCCACAAAACCACCAGTGCAAAAACAACTAAACCCATCAGTACAAGTTTGTTAAATGTTTTCCCGGTGGTCGTTTGATAACTACTTGGAGCAATGGCATTGTGATCAAGAGCATACGTAGACTCCATCATAGACACAAGGACAAGGAGAAAAAAATAGCGTAATTCATTAGGAGATCTTAATGGAGAACAGAAGGAAACTGTGAATATATAGAGTACTTCTTGTTCTCATTCTTTTTCAGTTNATTATTTATTATNTATGAAACTAATTCTTANTAAATAAAAGATAGTGACCTATTTGAAATGAATTAGTTTTTTTTAAATTTTTCTTTATCTATATTCCATAAATGTGAAATTAAAAAAATTATTTTTAACCTTTGGATGTTAGTGATTACTTATTAATATTAAAAAATATATGTATGTTTGGTTAAATCTTTTTGTTAGCTACATACCGAAAACTGTTATTGTCACAATTAGCTACATATCAAAATGAATGTTCGGATTGTAAATTCTCTGGACTTGCGAATGAACTTTTTATGATAAGCTCAATGTTTAATTTTTTGTTCTTGTAGATTATGTTCATCAAAACGAAGGTTCTGGTTGAAAACTCTCTAGACCTACTACTGAAATTTTCATGATCATCTATGTTTTGTTTTTGATCTTATAGATTATGGTCATATGATTAAAAATTCTCTCTACTTGCGATCAAACTTTTCCTAATAGCATGTGCGTCTTGTGTTCGATCTTCTAGATTATATATGTTTTGATTGAAATTTGTTTGTACTTGTGATTGAATCTTTCATGATAATCTATGTGTTTTGTTTATGATCTTATAGATTATGTTCATCAAAGGAAAAATTTTGGTTGAAATTTGTTTGTATTTGCGATTGAATCTTTTATGATAATTTATGTGTTTTGTTTTTGATCTTATAGAATATGTTTATCAAAGCAAAGATTTTATTTGAAATTTCTTTGGACTTACGATTGAATTTTTCCCGACAATCTGTGTGTTATGTTAAAGAACACCACAGCTTCTATTTTTTTGGTTCCCCACCCCCAAAAATATTTTTCTAACCAGTTGCAAAACGGCCTCTAAATAATTTGAGGATTTTTTCTTTTTAAAAAACAAAGTTATTTTTATGGTATTTGGGAATATTCCATGGAATATTTTTGTTTCTGTAAAATGAAAGACATGGTAATAGAGAAAATACGGAGAACAAAAATTTGCTAAATAGTAAATACCATGAGGTAAGCCATGTGTATATAATAAATTGGCAAAATATTTAAAATCATTCACCTTTCAAAGTAGAAAAGCAAAAGCCAAAGATGGTTTCTAACCAAAGCTGTCTTCTTC